TCAACCAGGAATGCACCGAAATAAAAATCCTGGGCCGAAACCGAAAAGAAAATTCAGGATACCCTTGGCCGAAAACCGAAACTGAAAATGACTTTTCCCCCTCAAATGATTTTAAAAAGTTTTTTCCTATAATGTTATTATTAGACTTTTTCATGAATTTAACTAATCTAATATGAAAAACTTCCCTTCTCCCTTCTCTTTTAGTGGTCCCCCCGCTTAATGTTCCTCTCTCCCCCCTCTAGTGTTTTTTCCCCCATCCTCCCCAGTCCCATAGTGTTCCCCCCTCCTCTGTCCCATAGTGTTCTTTTTTCCCCCCTCTCCTGTCCCATAGTGTTCTTTTCTCCCCCCTGTCCTGTACCAAAGTGTTCCTTTCTCCCCTCCCTTGTCCCAGTGTTCTTTCCCCCCCTCCCCTGTCTTATATAGTGTTCTTCCCCTCCTTCCTCCTCTGTCCCATATAGTGTTCTTCCCCCTCCTCTGTCCCATATATTGTTCTTCCCCTCCTCCCCTGTCCCATATAGTGTTCTTCCCCCCTCCTGTCCCATAGTGTTCTTTTCTCCCCCCTGTCCCAGTGTTCTTTCCCCATCCCTGTCCCATACTGTTCTTCCCCCCTGCCCCATACTGTTCTTCCCCCTCCCCTGCCCCATATTGTTCTTTTCTCCCCTCCTTTTACAGTGTTCTTTTCTTCCCCTCCCCTGTCCCATAGTATTCTTTTCTCCCCCCCCCAACCCAGTGTTCTTCCCACCTCCCCTGCCCTATAGTGTTCTTCCCACCTCCCCTGTCCCATAGTATTCTTTCCCCCTCCCCGTCCCAAGTGCAGTATTTCGGCCGGAAATTTTGGCAGCCGAAATTTCGGTGCATCCCTAATATCAACTTCCTATTTTGGGAATGTTTTCAGTATAATTTTGTATGTAATGTACATTCTTAGATTCTTACTTTTTACATACTCATTTCTTTTCACATGCTATTTCATATGTTACAGACAAAGCTGACAGATTATCTTATTTTCTTCTGCTATTTTCTTCTGCTTACACATCTCCCCTTCCATTGACTTTCTGTATATGTTCCAAATTATTTTAAAATCCAGTTTCTCATTTGCAGTATTCTCTACAGCAGGGATTGACCAAAAGGTAGATCCCCAAATGTTGCAGAACTACAACTCCCATGATGCTTTGCATGTTTTTAGAATGTTTTAGAATGACAAAGCACCATGGAAGCTACACCATGTGGGGATATACCTTTTGGGCACCCCTGCTCTACCTTTTGGGCATCCCTCCCCTGCTAACAACATCCAACTGTCCTCAGCCTCACCCACTTCCATTTATTTTACAGGCGTTCTCCAAGGTTGCTCCATTGCTACATAATGCTCAAGATCGCCTCAATGAACATTCTCAGGTTCTATCCCTAAAAACATACTTCTTCAAGAAAGCATTTACAAGCCAACTGAATAACCTCCGTCACTGAAGCAGTTTAACAATGCCTCATCATACACAACCTTTTCTAGCATTATCTGCTGGGAACAATGACATCTTCTTATGTAATAACTACTGTTTGTTACATAATTTAAATAAATACATTTCATAATTCACAGTATAATAATAATAATAATTATACGCATCTACCGAGAGACTGACTGGTGGATCTCTTTCTCTGTCTGTCTACCAACCTTTTTACCAGCCTAGCTATATGAATGTATGAATCTACCTAATATGATTCGATATTATTATTTAAAGAACTTTGTTAGTACTCTACTATATGTTCTATGGCTTCTATTTATCCAGGTATAATTATATCAATATACATTGGGTAAAATATCATTATACATCGCCATTCAGGTTCTACATAAAAGTATTATGTTGCCATTAGCAGAGTGTGCAATATCAGCCAGAATAGAGTTCTTCTGTTTGCATTTCAACAAATGAAACAAGCAACACGTGTGCATCTCATAGCTAATTCAATGCTGCTCTCTAGTGTTACTTTTTGAGAATGCAGGGTACATTACTATTACAAATGTGATAAACAGAATCATTGTATAGAATCTTAATGAAAGAATAATACAGTGCATTTATTTGACCCTTTTCTATTGCTAGAATACATTTTAATAGTAGCTTTATAAGATAGCAATATTCCAAGTGATGCCAAAATCCATACTTAATCAGAAATTTATAACGAATTTGTGCATACAACAACCATTTGAATTGTAACATTTTTTAAACCCCCTAAGGATGGAGGCAACTGTACAGAAGTTCTGACCAAAACAAAATATGGAATTTGCGATATAAGTCTGCTCAACCATAATTTACCTCTTTCAAATTAAGTACACCCACACTTATTATATGTCATTTTGTTTAGGAGAAACAGGGATTTCATTTCACATCAAATATTTCTATATGAAACATAATTTTATAAATTAAGACATTTTGCTATTTTCCAATTTCTGCATGACATTTTAACTGTCACAATACAATTAGCTTTTACTGCAATAAAATACACATATTTGTGGTCATCAATTCTATGGCATTTTTGCCTAGGTTGTCAGGCAGGTCCCCATATATATTTATATAACCTATAGAATAACATAATTATGTAACAATAATACAGAAATATACATGTAGAATGAAATATTATAGTGTATATTTATATATGATTTATACATAATTATGTGTTCTTACTAATTATATGTTGGGGATCTGCCCAACAACACAGCCAGTCCTCCCACAGTAAAAAATGCAATCCGGTCGATCTGAGTCATGTGATCGCAGTATTATCACGATCGTATGACTCAGATTCCAGGGATTGGCTGTAGGGCGACTGCCTCGGTTGTCAGGCAGCCCCCCAAATCGGCACCGTCGAGGAGAGTAAGTACAGAGTCTGCAGAGTCGTCCTTTTGTAGGACGGCATAGCACATCCTAACGTCAGGAAACAGTTAGGCAGCCTTTCAAATCTGTGTAAATTAAAAAATATATTTTTCTATACATAAGCTGACATATAACTATTCTTTTTTGGAAATATTATGTTCTATACAATAATAACATGTTATATATATATATATATATATGTCAGCACATATCCTGCAGTTCAAGAAAAAGCAATAAACTAATGACATTATTAAATTTCATGATTTAGCCAACAATGTCCAAACTGGCAGACACCTTATTTTATACTATTTTCAAACAACATACTCCTCTTTTTTCTGAAACACAATCTGCAGATCAGGACCTTCCTCAGTATAAAATATATATATAGCACTAGAAGTGAGCACATCTACAGTACAAATAGCTATATGGAGGTGTCTGGGCAAAAAATAATCAAAATAAATCTAGAATATCAAAACCCCAGAACTGAAAAGTAGTAAATAAATAAATGAATTTACCATAAAATAGCCACTATTTCACCGAGTCAAGTCCACTGCATCCAGGCATGTCAAGTATTGTATCCAGATGTGTTACATTCACTCAATCCAGATATGCCAAGTCCACTGTATACAGATGTGTCACGTTCACTCCATCCAGATGTGCCAAGTCGTCAGTATCCAGATGTGTTAGGTCTACTGCACTCAAACGTAGTTTTCAAGATCACTTCATCCAGGCATACTCAGTCCGGTACTTCAAAACGTATCCAGCCCAGTGCTCCATAAATCATTAATCCAGTGCATTCAGGCATATCCAGTCCAATACAACCAGCCAAGTCCAGTCCATTATATCCATACAAGTAAGTTTGTTCCAGAAATCCCCATTCCAATGCAAGTAGATAGTCCAGTACATCTCCACAGGGAAATGAGTAACATCAGGTTGATGACATCACAGCTTTGTTATGATAAACCAATTTATTTTAACACTAAATTTGCTGCATTCTCAATTGTTTTTATTGGGTTTGCCCAGTCTAATATACATAATACTACAGTTTAACGGTGAATGCTTTGCATTCCAGATACAGATATTTAAGAAGAAATATGAAAACATGTGTGCATAGCAAATAATGAATATATTAACTTTTGCTTTGATAATATAAGTCTTCCAAACATCTATGGATTTCACAAGGCAAAACATTGAATATAAATACAGAGAAATCTTCACTTTTGTGCTGGGGACTCGTTACACCCCTGCCACACATGACTTAGGCAGCTCGGAACTCTGTTCTGGACTGCCTAATATTAAATCTCTCCAAAAATTTAATCTGTTACCAGGGAGGGCGCCTGCAAGGGGAAGGCTGAATGCCCCCTTCCTCCTGTGATCCCTCCCCACCTCCCTGTATTTGGTAAATTTGTCTAGAGTTTTTTTTTTTTTATTCCCTTCCTCCCTTGCTTAGACTGTGAGCCGGTGATAACAGTTTAAACAAATGCTTCTCAATGAGAAGCATTTGCTAAGACCATGGAGAGGAGAACATTGACATCAGACGGAGCATGGAAACCAGCGAGGGGAGCTTTGCCTGGCACTGGATTCCATGTATGTTTTAACTTATAGGTTATTGGCACTATGAAAGGGGGTGGACATAGTTAATAGTGCTCAATAGGTCACTAAAGATTAATAATTCATAATGAAAAAGGGTTATAGTAACCCTTTAACTACTTTGTTATCTGGTAATCTAATAATAATTCTCATAATTAGTATACATTAGATACAAGGAATTCAGAAAAAAAAAAAAAAAAGGTGTTCCGTGATGCTCCAGGTTTCATCAATATACCCGCTGTAACAGAACAGGGGAAACCCAAAAATGGGGTGCACGGTTTGGAACTGGTTTGGAAACACTGTTCTAAGAAGACGAAGGGAAGAAGAGAAGCAAGCAATAACTATACAGGGGGCAATAGGAACAGTTAAAAAAGTGGCGCACATCCAAGATCACTCTGGCAGAAAATGGGTTCACTGTTTGTATGCCAGGCAGTCATGCACCTCATATTGCTACTGCCAGGCACACAATCAGTAACTACATGGATATTAACAGCTACATCACGTGTATTTCCTTTTTACATTTGTTGATAGATTTCACTATATTGTCTCGCTTACCTGGTATATTTGCTTTGCTGATTGATGATTGGTTACACATTGTTGACCTTCTGAAAAATAAACAAAAAGAAGATACAGAATGTCAGAGACAGATGGCATTATATAGAATATACATCTTCCCATGTCTTTAAATTAACCCAAACAAGGAACAGCACTGGCTCAAACTCTGCCTTTCTTGGAGGCTACCTTCAATAGCTTATCAAACAATGGCCATATGGGTTCAATAGCGAACACAGCCATTATTAAGAAATCTTCAGCACTTTCTTCATATTTGTCAATGTGTGCAACCTTCTATTCCACTGATGACTTGGTCATTCATCAAACTGGCAACATCGAGCTTCCATCTGAAATACTGATTTGAACTCCGCACTGAGGATCTTTGAATTCTGGGCTTTGACTCAATTTATGATTTTACCTGAAGCACGTTAGCTTATTGAAGTGCTTTAAATGTGAAAAATGTGTGCTTTCTTTTTCATTCTACAAAAAGTGCAGATTTCAATAGAAATTGACACTTTTAGAAATGAACCGTTACACCCATTGGCTGTCAATCAGCCATCCGGTGCTGTTACTTCCTGGTAGTTTTGCTTGCTGGAAGAGGCAGACAATTGCTCAGAGCCCCTGCCTTGGAAAGACGTCTTATAGAGCTGCATTAGGAAGTCTGTGATTGGACAGACACAGAAAGTCTGGGCGGGGTTAAAAAGGGAAAGCTTGCAAATGCTACAGACAAGAGATCTGCAGGTTTTGCGATCTGTTTTTAGATATAACCCCAATGAAAGAATGCACAATTAAATACATGCATTCATTTGGGGTATATCTGCTAAGCAGTGATTCCACATATATCTCTCCTCCCCTGACCTCTCCCCTGCTGTCCTACAACGTGTCACCAATTGCCTTTCTTCTATCTCTTATTGGATGTCCTCCCGCCTTCTGAAACACAATCTCTCTAAAACTGAGTTTCTTATTTTTTTCTCCTCACAACACTGATCCTCCTCCTTCACTCTTCCTGCAGATTGACGGTACCTGCCTCACCCCATCCTTTCAAGCTGGATATCTTGGTGTCATTTTTGATCCTGGCCTCACATTTGCACCTCATGTCCTGTCTGTTGCTAAAACCTGTCGATACCAGCTTAAAAACATTGCCTGCGTATGCCCCTTTCTTACGCAAGATGCTGCCAAGGAGCTCGTTCATGCTCTAGTAATCTCTTGCATGGATTACTGTAATTCTCTCCTAATTGGTCTCCCCAGAAGCCGTACTGCCCCCCTACAATCTGTGATGAATACTGCTGCCAGGCTGATCTTTCTCTCCTGTCGCTCCTGTCTCACACCTCACCTCTCTGTCGATCCTTACATTGGCTTCCTGTACCCTACAGGTGTCAATTTAAAATACTAACCATTACCTATTAAGCTCTAACCAACTCTAGCCCCTCTTACATTTCTTCCCTGATTCATAGGTATGCCCCCTCTCAGTCTCTCCGCTCTACTGGTGACCTTCTCCTGTCTGCTGCTCGCACCCTTACTGCAAATTTACGCCTGCAAGACTTCTCACAGGCAGCTCCTTTCCTTTGGAACAGCCTGCCTACCCATGTCAGACTCTCCCCTAGCATTCAATCGTTTAAGAAGTCCCTCAAAACCCATCTTTTCAGGATCTGCCTGATCCCACTTAGAAAGAATGCCTCTGCTTACTGCTCTTTTAACGCAAGCCCATGGTGCATAAAACTATCTACAAAATTTGGTAATAGATCAGTGCACATAAACCCCTCATATTTAGGATTTAACATATCAGGACCACCATGAAAAGATTGATCTGTGGGAGATATAGTCTAGTATATTAGTCCTTGATTTGCTAATATTATGAGGCTCCCACATACTTATGGAACTAAAAGGGGTAACACATGTATACAGCCCTGTAACAAACAAATGACTGGTTCTTATCACTAAAAGAACCAACAAAAGAACATTTTGCTCAGTAAATAGGAGCCGCCATACATAACACAGAACTGTTTATAACTTTGTAGGTCGTTTTCCCACAGAAAGCTGCTTAAGGTAAAAGGCTAAAGACAGAAAACAAAGCTTGTGTCAGATTGTTTTGCCATTTCTAAGTTATTGTGAACTATACTCACTTGCTGGGTGCGCGGTCTTGCAAGTTAGTTAGTGCAGCAAAATTATTCCTTACAGTCCGAAGACTGGCCAGTACCTAAAAAATAAATAAAAACAAAAACAATAATAAATAAGAATGACATGAAATAATTTCTATTATTTGCTATATGTACTATAATAATACTATCTAATACTAGGCATTATAGAAAGTAAAGTCAACGACTGTTGCAAAAGGTTGCAACACAGTGGGAACCCATGAGAACTGCCTTACATTTGTAAAGGGAACTGAGTTTCCATATGTCTTACTGTAAAAGGTGTAGCACTGTTTACCAGATAGGAACATTGTTATAGACCACTGGTCATTTGAACATTCTATTGCATGTAGTCATCATTTAAATCCCGGGTGCTCTGTATATAACACTGTGCATCAATCCATTTTTATATATTCCATTTTTAGAACTTGACCACTATATAAAATCTTAGTTATAGGTGAGAATGTATCTGCCCAAATACATTAGCTCACAGGCCATTCATCAATATGCAGATATACTTGAATGAAGACTTTTAAACAGAACCTGTCATGTTGAAAAACTTAACTTTATACCTTTTACATTTGAGGATGACAGATCTTTACAATTTAAACCCTATTTTATAATCAGTGTGGAAATCAGGTGGGGGTGGAGATATTTGCAACAATTTAAAATGATGTCAAAGGGCCAAACCATTTAATCTCAATCAAGTGATCTGGGTGCAAGGTCCCTGTAGTTTTAACCCTGCAATGTAAAACATTTCAGTTTTGTAGAAAATGCAATGTTTACACTGCAGAGTTGAACACAACAGTAGTGGCTGTCTTCCAGACAAAATGCAGTTCATGGTAAAGCTATGAATTCGATACTTTCCTAATAGAAGCATTTGATTAAAAGCACATGTGGTACTTGTCATTCACATGCAACTTGCCCCCAACGCACCTTTGTGAGGAGCTTGGACATGAATTGTGAAAGTTGTACCTCCATGATGATGTCACAGGAGGCGGAGCAGGGAGTCTTAGCAGTGGAAAAAAGTGGAAAGGTTTTTCTCCTAAATTTTTTATTTGCAAAATGTGGGCCAAAATCTATATAGCAGCTAGGACACTATAGCGTTAGGGGTTTGTACAGGTTTGTACTCCTAACACTATAGCTATGGAGAGCATATGTTCCTTTTTTTTTTTTGGAAATACATTTAGGAAACCTAGAACAGAAATCCAGGTATCTTATGTAAGAAAGAACATGTCTTGAGGTTTTTTTAATTCTGCATTCACAGCTTTCTTATATATAATACAGTAATCTAAGCAAAAATTACGTTCAGAAATGTCTTCATTTGTTGTATTGGTCTAGTTTGCATGGAGCACTTCATGTTTGTGTTTGAAGCTCCTCTGGTTCAGCAAGGAGTAGTGCTTCTAGAATTTCTTCTTCCACACTATGCCTCAGACATTTCATACATAGTTGAGGGCAAGCAAACTGAGCTACATGGAACCATATAAGACGGCTTCAGACTCATGTGCAATGAACTATGGGGAAAACGGAAGATTAAATCTGCAGGTTGTGGGCTCGGAATGTGCTATGATCAGTGGTTCTATGTGGTGCAAGGTTTATGGTTCTTTTCCAATGGGAAGCTGCTTCCTTGATATTTGCTGGAATGAGATGACTGTCTTCACATAATCAAGGCCAGACGCACATTAAGCATGCTTGAATATTTTAAATATAATTCTACTTATTTTGGGGATGGGGATCTTATAATGAATACATTTACAGTGCCAGAGGCAATTAACTATGGCAATGCCCCCCTTTAAACCCTTCTAACTTCTTCAAAATTCAGCAAAGCTTCCAGTACCCAGTCAGGATGGATTGGGGTACACTGTTGCCAGCAAGAAATATATACAAAAAGACCAAAACAATAGAAACTCTCCGGTGATTAAATTCCTTTCAAATCACCCATTGCCATATGTGTCCCTATTTAGGAGGGATAGTGCCTATTTTAGGCCCAAATCCCTCTGTCTATCATTTGCAGGAGCTCTAGATTGTTGGTGTGTCTGCGTGTATAACAGAGCGTTACAGCAATAATTCTCAAGTGATGTAGCTTTAAACTAAAATAATTTGTTTAGAAATCGGTGTAAAAAAGATACATTGTCCTTGTTCTAGATTCCATTTTACTTGCACATATTGTTATTAGTAAGAAAACTTCCCCACCCCTGGCCACAGCAGCACTCACACGCTCCTAAAACGGTCCCTCTTTGTCCATTCGAAATGTCGGGAAGTATGAATTAGTATAGTTGCTGATTGCTTGGGGATTTGAGGGGTTGTGATGGTGGCATTTTTAATAATGGCTTTTATTAGTGACAGGAATGTCTTTGATGTATTATAAGTGGTTGTGCAGTGAAGTATCTTTCTATATGTTGGTAAATGTCTATATTGTTGCTGCCCCTAGGTGGTGGTAAGTTGCAGTATCATTCTAAACTATTCCATAATACTATTAATTGCTATGTTTTTGTAGCTTGGTTCCTGGTAGTTTTGCTTAATCAGTTTCTCTCAGCCAGATCATTTTAAGCAGCCTTAAAGCAGTAAGATTTGTAAGTACATTTTGTCTGTTTGTGTGCTGTTCTAATAATGTGTATTCTATCTAATTCTGTCAGTACAATAAAACAAAAGTGATAAGCAATAGATTATTGCACTATGCATACATATTCACACATCCATGCAGGCATTATAAACATACACACATTCCCACACAAGGGTTTCAAACACTTAATTGTTGTAAAAGGAAATAAAGACTAAAATAAAATAAACTTAGGTAAATATGTCAAATTTTTAAAAATCTGGCCATAGCTTGTCTATTTTACCTGTAATTCAGTTTTTAATTTGCTACAATTTATTATTTTTAAAATGAACTGTACATATGCTCGCATTACACAGATACATGTGCAAATACATTCACGTACCTTATGTCTGCATTCAGTACAGATCACACATATACAAATTTACATATATGTCTATGCATTCATTCCCAAATATCTGTTTACATACTCAGTGTTCACACACTACACATATTATTATTATTATTGCCATTTATATAGCGTCAGATTTCGTAGAGCTTTACAATATTATGAGAGGGGGAATTTAGCTATAAATAGGACAATTACAAGATAACTTACAGGAACGATAGGTTGAAAAGCACCCTGCTCAAACAAGCTTACAGTCTATAGGAGGTGGGGTATAAAACACAGTAGGACAGAAAATAATAATCAAATAAGGAGGGAGTGAAGCAGAGCTGGAGGAGAGAGTAAAGTGTCAGCCCTTTAGGAGAGAGCAAGAGACAGGTATGTAAGGTAGAGCTAACTCTGGGAGGCCCATAAGCTTTCCTAAAGAGATGGGTTTTAAGACACTTCTTAAAAGATGCAAGACTAGGGGAGAGTCTGATGGTGGTAGGCAGGCTATTCCATAGGAAGGGAGCCACCCACAAGAAGTCCTGCGAGCGTGAGTTGGCCGCACAGGTGCGAGCAACGGACAGGAGACACTGACCGTACGGGTGCGAATAGCGGACAGGAGAAGGTCACGGTCAGAGCAGAGAGACCGAGAAGGGACATACCTATGGATCTGTGAAGAGATATAAGAGGGGCTAGAATTCTTCAGTGCTTTATAGGTATGGGTTGATTCCTATAGGATACAGGAAGCCAATGTAAGGACTGACAGAGGCGTGAGGTGTGAGAGGACCGACTAGAAAGGAAAATCATTCTGGCGGCAGCATTCATTACAGACTGTAGCAGGGCAGTACAGCTTTTCAGAAGACCAATCAGAAGAGGGTTACAATAATCCATGTGAGAAACTACTAGAGCATGGACAAGTACCTTGGTAGCATCTTGCATAAGAAAGGGGCGGATGCTGGCTATAATTTTAAGATGGAATCTACAGGATTTGGCAACATTCTGGATGTGAGGCTCAAAGGTGAGGCCAGAATAAAGTATGACACCAAGAAAGTGCGCTTGCAAGGATAGACTTATGTGGATACCACTAACTTGAAGGGAGAGCGAAAGAGGAGGATCAGTATTAGGAGGAGGAAAGACAAGGAGTTCAGTTTTAAAGAGATTGAGTTTCAGAAAGCGGGAGGACATCCAGTCAGAGATGGAAGAAAGGCAAGCAGGACGGCAGGGGAGAGGTCTGGGGAGGAGAGATATATCTGGGTGTCATCAGCGTACAGGTGGTAGTGGAATCCAAAAGAGGCTATAAGTTTACCAAGAGAGGCAGTATAAAGAGAAAATAGAAGGGGACCAAGGACAGAGCCTTGTGGGACTCCAACCGAGACAGGACATAGATATCTGAAGAAGCATGAAAAATTTACATACATTACATGGAGATGAGGGACAGAGTGGAAAATTGTATGTGAGCTGTGTGGGTGTGCTTGACCTAGTCTCGCTGAACATCGTAGGAAATGTAGTCTATTATGGCTACCATGCCAAAGTTTAGCCATCACTGATGTCTCTTGTGCACTTAATTTGTCATTGTGTACAGTCAGCCAGGTGATATTTTTACATATGGCCGCCAGTGACGGCTTATCCATAGGGGCACTTGGGGCTGCACCCCACCAGTTTTTATATGGATAAAAAAACATTTGTAGTAGTTTATAATATCTAAGATTCTTTTCTAGAGAGGAGGATGGTAAGTCAAAAATATGATGAAAATTAGTGTCTCTTTAATTCCGTAATAGGTTTCAGATCTGCAGGTCCCTTTCTATCTTACTGATAGCTGGAGAAGCTTTCTTGAGAGGATCTAGGCATGTCAAAAAATCGGGCAGATTTGAAATCTGCCCTATTTCAGCAGGTTATGCATATGCCTAGTGTCCTTTAAGAAGGATTTTTAGGAATTTCCATTGAGTAGCCATTTGGGCAACAGAAAAATACAAAAAAAGGGGGTTAAGGGCTGCCCTTGAACAATTAATAAAAAAGATAGAAAATGTATAAAATATAGATAAAATCAGCAATGATAATAAAATCAAATTATAATCAATAGACAAAGTTCATCCAGATATGAAAGTTGAAATTATAAATTGAAACAGTCTTACTGATATATGGTAATACGATAATGATCCTCAAGTGTTCAAGCTCCAACAAATGTGAGTGAAATACCTTTTTCTTGAATATATACCACATCTGGACATACAATATTTCACCATTGGCAGCTTTTTCCTCTGTTTTTTATCTTCACATATATGAACTATCTGCCATACGGACGGAGCAACACTTGAGGATCATTATCGTATTACCATATATCAGTGAGACTGTTTCAATTTATAATTTCAACTTTCATATCTGGATGAACTTTGTCTATTGATTATAATTTGATTTTATTATCATTGCTGATTTTATCTATATTTTATACATTTTCGATATTTTTTTATTAATTGTTCAAGCACAGCCCTTAACCCCCTTTTCTTGTATTTTCCTGTTTCTCAAAGGGTTTCTTGAGGGATTCCCCTTTTAGGGTTGCTGCTTATTTGAGTAAGCGCAGACTCTTACCCCCTTTTTGTTTTACCATTTGGTGTTGGTTTTCTCTTTCCAGCTGCTGATCAACGATTAGTATTATGATTATACCAGTTATATAGCGCCAGCAAATTACGTAGCGCTGTACAATGGGATGATGCCCTGTATCTGTTATTAGTGGACTGGTCTAAATTATAAGCATGCCTTGTGAACAGATTCTATTTGCATTACATACCTGAGCAAATGGCGTTACAATCAAGTCATCTCCATGTCTGTAAAATAAGAAGACATTGTGTGAAAAAATTGGCAATATCACCCAACGGCATTATTTCAACCGCCTACCAGGTTCCATCTTTCTTCTCGCCCTCATGTACTCTATAGCACCCTATGCAACTCCACCCTCATCAAATTGATTAACTGCTCTCTGTTAACACTTGTGGTTATTTTTTTAATGGTCAGCTAATTGAAGTGGTCCGGATGCAGTATCCAGATGTAAATCATGGCAGCTTTTGAGAAAGGCAATAATTGTCAGACAGCCAGTAGAGGTGCTTCCTGGATTCTAACGGACTTTTGGTGCCCTAACTTATGCTTGACATCCTCACCCTCTGCATGAGGACATCCAGCATTAGTAAATAACCATAGGAAAGTCTAATGTGTTCTCCGAGCTCACTGCGCATGTGTATTAGGCCACCTACCCTGTCAGATGACATCGGAAGAGGCGGAGTGCTGACATCTAAGGACAAATTATTAACAGTTGTAACTGCAGCCAAACGTAGTTCTGCCAAGTATTAACACAGGAGGGTGGCTATGTGTGCAACCAAAAATGTCTAATACTGATCTTACTTGTTTAATTAACTTGTGTTACTCAAGAAAATAAATATTTTGCACCTTCAAGGTGTTCATTATGTTTTGTGAAAAACAAATGGTAACATTCCCAGTAAAATACATTTTAATTCTAGATTCTAACACTGTAAAATGTAGTAAACATTAAAGAGGGATGAATAGCTATGCATCATACTGTACTCTCAAAGATTTGAATTTGCAGACAAATATTTTTCTTCAAAAATGTAAATACATTTGGTGCAAGCGACCTTTCTCAGTGTGATAAGATATCAATTTGGTGAATACAAATTGTCATTGCCATTGATATTATAAAGTGAACAATTCCAAATACATTTTCTAATGTGCTTAGTGCAGAGGGGTTAAAGAGTTAATTCAACAAAACCTGTGTTTCATTAAACATCGTTTTTTGGCTGTATAGTAACCCTTGCTGGAATGCCCCTCCCCCTACCCTACATAAAAAAGTAATAAAAAGGAAGACAGTCAAAACGTACCTGCTATCCCATGAGAAGGCCATGTTCTACTTACAGTATAAACCCTGTTTGTACATGTCACTCCTCTCACTGCACGGGGAGTGACACCCCATGATGAGGAGGGGACATAGGCGTCATAGAGCAGGTGCCATGCTGCCATTGGTCCCCTGTCACCATCATGCTATGCGTGCTGATGACAGACACCTTTTATGCACAGAATTAACATTAGCCAGAATGGAACGAGAGTTCCACGATGGCTTATGAGACTGCCAGGATTGGAGTTACAACTTCTTTAACTGTGTATGTGCAGTAATTATCCGTTAAATCCACCACATACAGAATCCAGCACCATGACCACTTCAAATCACTTAAGTTTTCATAATGCTTAGAGTATTGCATATATATATATTTTTATATATATATATATATATATATATATATATATACACACAAACATGCACACACACACACACACACTGTATATAAATAACTTATATTTAAGATCCATTTACCGCATACTTTATATTCTATTGCTTACTCCCCCTGAAACTTCAATTATTCTCCTTTACAACAAGGCAGATCAGTTCTAAGTGCCATAAAAAACTAAACAGGGTAAAATAACTTAATATCTTGTTTATCATTTCCATGCCATTCTGTTATGACTATAATCAAACGTTCTCGCATGTGCTATCAAAGAATTCCAGGAGGATTATTTTACAAATGACTGTACTACTTTTATTTATAGACACTATTCTGCATTCCATAGCTCTTATCTCAGTTTACACATGTTCCTCTCATTGTTGATAATGATAGAGTCAGTGTCTTTGCAACTCAACTACTGAATTTAAAAGAATTTCACAATGAAGAGGTCTATAATTGTAAGCAACTGTGAAATGCAAATATTTCCACTATATCATAGTTGTGATACATGCGGAGTGTTGATAGGATTCAGCCCCATCAATACAGCTTCACTTACAATACAATTGTTAAACTAAAAGATGAGGTTACATGACAAAGCATTTCTTTGACTGTTTTCGTACAAAGACTGTTTATTTCAGTGGTTTAAGGAAATATCCCACCCCACACGTCTGAATTTAATGTTATATAGACCAATTACAGGGTCAAAATGTGAATATTTTTCAGAGACACTTTAATTGGTAAACCCTTCTAATACCGAGTAGGACATGATTTTGCACTAAAATAGTATATTATGAATTATTTATGACATGTAGTCATCATGTTGCCAGAAACATTTCTTAGAGATTGTGGTCCATGCAGACATGATGACATCATACAATTCCTGCAGATTTGTCAGGTGTACATTCATCAGGCAAATCTCTTGTTTCATCAAATCCCACAGGTGATATATTGGATTGAGACCTAATAACAGTCATTGGAGTACATTGAGTTGATTTACACATTCATGGAACTATCTTGAGATGATACGTGCTTTGTCATAATAAATACATCGGATGGTTAGAGTGGTAATGCCACTGCCTTAAAACTGGTAAACTTGGGTTTTTAATCGTAGTCAGAAAACTTTGCCAGTAAGTGTCCTCGGGTAAAACATCTAACAGGAGATAATTGTTAGGGGAGTTGTTGAAATGTTAAAGACAACAAGAACATCAGTTATGTTTGTGTAGTGCAGAGTGAAAAAATGTGGAAATAGAGTGAATGAAACTGAGAAGCAAAAATAATAAAATATGTATATAGGTGTATAAAGACAGTGGTGGTAAAGCTGGAAAAAGAAAGTCAGTGGAGATAAGTGAAAAACAATGGAGAAAGATAGTAAACAAGTAGCGTCTGAAAAGATAGATAAGAAACGTAATGTTGGGTACATTAAGAGATTATATGGTGGGTAGCTGTGTAGACAAAGGACGGGAGAGTGGCAAATACATTCTTTCACTAACACCTCCATTGTGTGTTCTGTTTGAAGATATTTATTTTCCTTCAATTATATTCTGGTTTCCTCACTAACATAAGCCACAGGCATGGGGGATTTTGATCCTAGATGACAGAGGGAAGCCTGGGCTATAAGTATTGGTGTAATTAAATCTTGTTGTGTAGTTCACCATCTTGGATGGAAGTTGATTGATTTAGCTGGAGCAATGAACACATGGGAAGTGACTTCAGGACAGGGCAGTGATAATTCAAACAATACATCACTCGTGCCAGGTCCTGCAATCAGGACTTTAATGGCGTACTCCATCAAACGGATTAAAATCGTCCTTTATTCAATAAAAAATTATATTTGGATACAATACACAGGGTGACACAAAGAATGGAGAAGCTAATGCGTTTCGTGTCATGCAAAGCACTTTCCCAGAGAAATCTCAGAGGAAGTGCCTTGCACGACACTAAATGCATTAGTCTTCTTTGTACCCCCCTGGAACATGATGTTGAAATATAATTTTGTTTTTAAATAAAGGTCAATTTTAATGTCTTCTGGGAGGAGAACACTCATGAAGTAAATTAGTCCCAACCTATTAAATCTAATAAATCCAAAACAATTCAAGAAATTGAAATCCATAAAACTCAAGCTACTGGCATTAATAATAAAAGTACCTAATAACAATTAAACTGCTATAATTTTAAAGATCCATATTTTAAAGATCAAAACAAATTAATTAGGAGCATTTACAGTTTGTAAAACCGTAAAAGAGCAAGATAAAGCATTCACAGATAAAACAACAGTCATTGATAGAATACTGATTGACAGCTGTGTGATTACTTACATGTCACTAGCAATGGAGGAGTTTCTGGACATGGACTTTGGAGAGAGGTCATAATCGCTGTCTGACCTGTACAAGAAGGATTCCCTTCTTTGACTATGGACAAAGTTGGCCTGAAGAATCAGCCCCGACCCTGGGCTTGTCATGGGATCCAGGGGACTACGTCCCGACGACGTGCCATTGTCCACATCAAAGCTGTAACAAAAGAGATTACATTGTTAGAGCTCAGCAATAGAGACAATATGTACACTTAAACAATAGATATACTTTTTTCACAAACTCTCTATAAGTATTCTGTTGGAAACCCAAAATACTATACTTGAGCAAAGTCTAATTATCCACAGGAGATAAGTCTTGCACCAAAACATCCTGTAATTCAAAAATTGGTGAATTAAAGATAATGGAATATAAAGGAATTATCAACCAAATCTATGGTATAGAAATATACAATTTACATTAAAAAGTGTGAGTTTAGTCAAATATACCATAATAACAATGTTTTCACTGGATGCAAATTAAATTTCTGGCAACTTTCTTTGTAGCTTGTTTGTGCCAAATAACTTACATTGGAATAATTTTATTTTTATGCACCTACGAGGCATTTGGCTACAACTAAAGTTACAGGAAATTAGCAACAATACAACAAGTTTTCATTTAGGCAAACATTGACTATTTTCCTTTGGAGAACAGTAGGGGGAGATCGTATTTTCATCTTCACTCCCATTTGACACGCATGACCATGTTGGCAGAAGTTTGGGTTGGAACACAAGGAAGTGCATCATACAAACACGGGAACACCGATCGTTATGCCAACAAAATTAAAAGAATGGAGACAGCTGGAGAATGTAAGCGATCAACCAATCCGGAGGAAAAAAGGAGAAAACACCCATGATAACACCAATGAACATTTGGGGTTAGCCCTATTTAAGGGGGGACTGTGGGAGAGGTTTATTAGGCTGTATTTTTGCACTGTATTATTTGGCATATTGTTTTAACTATATGGGGCCCTGAGGAAGTCCTCAGATGAGAACAAAACACGCAGGAACGTTATTTTAACTATGTGTGTGTATTTTACACAATTTTGTATCGATTAAATATCCTTTTGGAGAAAAAAACATCTTCAGAGTGTTTTTCATTGTGCCGCAACTTCCTTCTACTGACTTGGTGGATAGCCCCCTATTTGATATCGTGGGTGGCACCCACAAGGTGCTTGTTACATCGGAAATTTGTGAGTGCAACTGTGTAATTGTTTTATACATATACATCAAACAATATTTTCACTATGTTGTCCTTAATTTTAGGTACAGCAGCAGAATCCCTACATTTTTCTCTCTGTATATACAGTAGCCAAAAACCTGTTTTACATTTCCAACTATCTAAGCCATGAATATACCCCATAATTGAAAAATAAGAACAATTTTGTGTACCTTGAACACTTTCCAGGCTACATATAACTACTGAAATGAGCTACATTTAAAATTGTATTTTAGTGGGAACAATGCCAATTAAAACAAGCATTGCCATTGTATTTTAACTAAAGCAGCAAGTATATTACGTTGACAAATTATCCCACTGCAAAATACATGTAAAAACCTTACAATATTAATTTCCCCTTTGTAGCACAAGTAGGAACAATACATAAAAAGAATTATGATGCTGAAACGGACATATATCAGATTTCAACTTCATTACTTCATATGCCAAATAGGAGCTAACCTCAGCTTCGCGTTACGCAAGAGATTCCCTGAATTTACGATAACCACTTTCAGAAGATCTGCAGAAGCTGGATGCCAGTCCTGCCAATCATTCATTGGCTGAGATAGTCAGCTAATCACTCTCATCCAATGAATGCCCTTCTGTGCATAGAAATTGAAATTAACCAGCCAGGTTCCAAACTGGCTAATGATGCACCAATGACGCTGCCAAAGGTAGAGTTACACCTCCGGCAGCTAAAAGATTAAGCTCAGTATATGCAGCATTTCATAGTAAAACGCTGCACATACAGACTCCAGGCACCAAGACCACTTTAACACACTGAAGGAGTCATGGTGCTTGGATTAACCCTTTATTTAATCCCATTGAATGTACAAGGAAATGGACTATCAGCAAGACATACAGCCAATTCTCTGTACAATTCTGTGTGATGTACATCTCCCCAGCTCAGTTACATACAGGGGTCAGGCCCTGGGAAAAAAAAGTGGTAACTAACCCAAGATACCCTTCCTGCAGCCATATCCAAACATATCCACAAGTGATCTGTAGGGAACAGGGGTGCAAAAAAAAAAAAAAAAGAAGTACATGTGACGAGAGCAACCTCGCCACATTGCATTGGAGAAGCCTGGTTGCTCGCCTGCTGCCTTTGGATTATGGCCCCATGTTAAAAGACTTTGTTTCCCCTGCAGAAAAGACTTATTCGTGCTTTTCTTTCCGGTGTTCGGTAGATTTGCACGAATGACTAGACCACCTGGGAGCTGGAGTGTGCCGGCAATTAGCCTCCCAGAAGCTGCGGTTAACTGCAGCTTAATTGCCGAATACTGGGTGGTCGCCATTCGTATAACGAACATGAGGTCGCGGCCATTTTAAACACGCAAACGCACAGCGGTGTTCGACGCTTAATTCATGGAACTAAAAATGGACACAGTTTGACGCGAACACCGCTGAAACCGCCGACCTCCCTTCTTGTTCGGTGGAAGTACACAAACGGCCCGGCATTCGGTAGTTGTACCTGACTGCACTATACCCCAGATAGGAATCCCATGGAGCTCATTCGTATGAGAACTGACTTTGTGAAGACTTTGGCTCCATGGCGATTAAACTGTATTCGTGTGGTCTGAGCGCCATTCGCTTAATAATGTGCGCTCAGACCTGAGCTATCTGGGGATATATCAAATGTATATTTTTATTGCAACTTGTGTCATATAGTGTATTTTAATAGTAATTCATGTATTGGTATCCCCACGTGCATAATGGCGATTTGCGTTTGTCCTGGGAGATAATTGAATTACTTCTCAATTATCTCCAGGGCAGAGGGGAGGAAGCCAGGATGCATTGTGGGAATATAATGTGATTGTGTGTCCCATTTTGCTGATTGTCTGTCTTTTGTCACAGTCTCCCATTTGGTCCCCTAGGGGAGTGTCCACCAGGTGGGAGACCTGCATAAATACTGGGCAGGTAGCCCTCATTAAACAGACCACTGCTTGACCCTCAACACAGAGCCTTGTCTCGTCTTTGGGGGGATTTACTGAATGCTGATAGAGACTGATTGCTAGGAGTGTAAGCCGCTTGGATGCTTTTCCTATTTGTCTGCTAGCAGCTATTCGTATGGTTCCAGTTCGTGAGTTTGGAGTGTTATATTGTATGCCGTTCGGGAGTTTGGAGCTTTCCCTTACATGCGCTTCGGGAGTTTGGTGTTCTACAGTAGCTGTGCCTGCATCTCTGAAAGGGGACGATCGCCTAAACGGTTTTAACCCCTTGTGTGCTGAAACGGTCCGTTACAGTAGATACCCAGATATTTCAGAAAAACAACTTCTATGATGCTTTCCCATTATAAAATCTGATAAATCATCATGGGAAATGTCAATCGGTGACATCTGGGGCATCATCAGGAGTTCTACCTATTGGGCACCCCTATCTTGGTACCACTGGCCTGTATACAGTACAGCGTTAGGCCATGCAATAGTTTGAGTCACATCTGATGTTTTGGATTGTTGATCTCACACTTGTGTAACATTGTAGCCGAACTTTGTGAAGTGAACAGGAAGGAAGTGGAGCGAAGTCATTAAGGACATACAAGTTAATGCAGAATTATCATAATTATAATACACAAATCTGTATAATGCAATGTTATGCCGTTTAGTTAGTTCAATATTTCTGTAATTGGAATGGTTATATTTAACCCCTTAAAGACCAAACGTCTGGAATAAAAGGGAATCATGACAGTTCACACGTCATGTGTCCTTAAGGGGTTAAACGGAAAAGTATCCCAATTCAATAAACAATATGAAAACATATACTTTAACATAGATGTGTCTAGGTGTTTTATTTGTTCACTATTCCCAGAGAACTAGCCAACTACCTCCATAGATTTATTGCCATCTCTCTAGTGGTAATAATCAGGATAGCTGGAGAGCAAGATGGCATTGGGGTTGTTGATCATTTACCACTGGTGCTATGGTGGTACCTTGGGGATGTCCATATGATATACACATAGGCGTGCACAGTCTATTTTATAAGGGTGTGCACACTAAAGCACAAACACACACGCCGCGTTTATATATATATATATACACACACACACACACATACTGCTGTGTGTGTGTGTGTGTGAGGGTGCTGTGTGTGTGTGTGTGTGAAGGCGCTGTGTGTGTGTGTCCAGGCGCTTTGTGTGTGTGTGTGTGTGTGTGAGAGCGCTGTGTATGTAAGGGTGCTGTGTGTGTAAGGGCGCTGTGTGCGCGTATGGGCGCTGTGTGTGTGTGAGAGCGCTGTGTGTGTGAGGGTGCTGTGTGTGTAAGGGTGCTGTATGTGTGTGTATGTGTGTGTATATGTAAGAGTGCTGTGTGTGTAAGGGTGCTGTTAGTGTGAGGGTGCTGTTAGTGTGTGTGTATGTGTAAGGGTGCTGTTAGTGTGTGTGGGTTCTGTGTGTGTAGGGGTGATGTATGTGTGTGTGTGCTGTTTGTGTGTAATGTGTGGGATGGGGTGACCGTTTAGTTAATATCCCCCCTCCCTTCTTACCTTATGTAGGGAGGGAGGACTGTGCTGCTGCCATCCCTGGTGGTCCAGTGGTGAGTGAACTCTAGCCCCACAGGGGTCTAGAGTTCACTCTTGCGAGATCTGAGCGTTGCCGCGGTAACCGCTGCAACACTCAGACCTCGCGAGAGGAACCTGGAGGAGCTGCTGGCAAGAGCTCCCCGGGTCCTCTCATGCCTCCCTCCATGCTGCTGTGGGACTGTGGGGGAGATCTTTGATCTCCCTCACCGGCCCACGGAGGAAGGCACATAGCACATGCCGCGGGGATTAGGGTGTGCCCAGGCACACCTGGCACACCCCGTGTGCACGCCTATGGATATACATGGATGCACACCCAGCTGTGTAACATCACATGTGGATTTGCCTTTAAAAATGGTAGCCCTGATTATTCTTGAACTTCAAAAGCAGACAGGGAATGGTCTCACTGTTTAAATCTAATGCAGGCACAC